CTGCAATGGGAAGAGAAGAATTGCAATTCAGGGTCAGGGCAGAGCATTTCAGTAACGAGTCTCAGCTGGTTCCTGCTCTTCAGAACAAAGAAGATGCCAAAACCAACCAAGGACGGAACAACCTGCACAGTCTCAGGAGATCTTCAGACACGGTGGGGTTTAAATCCAAGTGCAGAAGGTTTCCACTAACACCCTTTAGAAAGCCCATCGATCCCTTGGGCTGCCCTGCAGCCGTCAGTCCTGCGAGTTATTTACACCACGCACGAAGGGGCCACGCCGATCCGTGGCTGCGGAGGGCTGGATGTCTCCTGGCTCTCAGCTGCACACCCATGTCCCTTCCTCGGCAAGTCCAGTCCTTCGCTGCGGCTCACGGCTCCTTTCAGCTCCTCCCATCGCCGAGGAGGCCCCGAACAAGGAGCTCGCTCCGGATCTGCACCAGGATTATGAAACTTGGCCAATTGTTTTGAAAACTTGCCGCTGTTTTCTAGAAGATGATGAAGAAAACAGGGCTTTTTTTTTTCGCTTGGGGCAAGGTTTCTGCACAGCTTCGTCAAGGGCAAACCGCTCCACTCGCGCTCGACGACTAACGGGCAGGTTTCTCTTTCATCCCATTTCAGGGGGACCACATCTGATATAACCACCTCGGGCAGGTGACAGCAGAGTCTCTCCTACCTCCTTTGGGGTGTTAGTTTTGTTGACACAACACCATCAAAGGCACCTTCCCCTCAGCTCACAAGGGGAAACCTGATCCTCAAATTCCAGCAGCTCCCAGTCAAAGCACGGAGGGGACCTGGGAGAAGAACAGAGCCAAGAGAAACCGACGTGGGAGAGAGCTTTTGCACACTTACTGCGTCGTGCTAAGGCTACCCAGGAGGTTTTAAGTGCAAACTTCAGGCTGAAGGTCTCTACTCATTTTCAGGCTAAAGTGGGGAGGATCTGCTGCTCCGATACGGCGCTAGGTCTTGACACCGTTAACACGGACAGAGAGGACCAGAGCATCTAACGACTGAGTTTTGCCTCCAAGCCTGTTTTTATCCCGAAATCCCGAGAAAGAGATTAGTAGCTTTCCCATCTCCCCAACAAAAGCAAATGCAGCATGGCTGCAGGGAGACAAACCCACTAGGAAACAAGTCTTGGGGTGTTCTACCGCCCCGGCAGCGGAAGGGGGGCCGCAGGGCCGGCCGCACCGTGAGCCTTTGCGCAGCAAACAGGAGAAGCGGAGCTGCAGGTCTCCTGAACTCCGCTGGTATCAGAGTGGGATAGCACGGCCTGGCAGTGGGAAAACTCACTGCAACAAGAGGGGGACAGACTGGGGTCTGTCCAGCTCTCTGGGAAGCTGTAGGGAGGACGGTAGCAAAAAGGAGGGGGATCATGCTTGGCTGAGGATGGTAAAGCTGAAACAACAGGGAGGATGGGCAGACCCCGTAGGACTCCAGCTAGCGCTCCTCTCCCTGCAAAGACCTCATCTTTATATTGTCATTCCTTATTTTATAAGCCCAGTGAAAGGTTTGGTTTTCAAAAGAAAAAGCTTTCCACCTCTGTCCCATAAGCCCTTGGGAGCACGGGTGAAACTACCGTCGTTTTTCTCTCCGATTTAAAAAAAGGTATTTCCCAGTTTAGTGTACGGTTCTGGCAGACGGAGGCCAAGTGCAGGGCTCTGAGGAATACAAACGAATACAGGAAGGGAGAAAGTCTGCAGAAACACACTGTCTGGAACGGCACAGGCAGGCCAGGATAACTACCTGGGGATACGCTCTCAATTCTGCCTGTAAATTATCCAGCCGGCGGATGACGCGACCGGGAGACACAGATGCCGGTCAAGGGCCTGGGACAGGGCTGACGGCAGAGACCGAGCCTCTCCCAGGACCTGCCAGCCGTTTTCCTCGCCCGGAGGTGGAAGGGATCTCATCAAGAGGCCTTCACAGACCTGCACGGAACTGGGACAAACCTCCCCTGGCACCAGGGCAGCAGACCCAGGGCCGAATCCTGGGTGAGCCAACTCCGGGCGCCAGCAACCCCACACCAAAGCCCTCACCACCGGCAGCTCCTGCATTACCCACTGCACTAGGACCTCCGAGTCTCCTTTTCAAATGGCTTTTGGCTTTTTTTTTTTTTTTTCCCTGGCTGTTTCAGCTGCACGAGAGCTCGTTTTGGGGAGCACGAGAGGCCGAGCGCCGCCAAAGTCATCCCGCCTGCGCCCGCGCTGCAAGAGCGGCGTGCTGCAGCTTGAGCTAACAGGGGAGTCGGGACTAACCCTTGCCTCTAGCTGGATAAACAAGACTCTGGTGTAAACCACCTCGAGTCCTCCATCAGGTTCTCCTCTGTGCAGACAGGCTAAAAGTCAAAGATTAATTATGCAAATAAAGGCAAAGAAAGCATCCCCAACACATGGAGAAAGGCACCTACCTCCCAGGGACCACCTACCCTGGAATAACATTGCAGGCTTCCCACATAATACAGGCCATTAATTATCACTCCCCTCCTGCTCCAGCAAGACTTGTATGTGGGAGCAGAGGAGGTGGAAAGTAGCTCCAAAGTGGCCAGAAGAGCTTGAGGGAGAAGAGTTTATTTCCTGTTCACGTTCCTAAAATAGAGATCCTGCTTTGTAGAGCATTAAGCCCCACCAGTAAAAAGCACTACATAAAAGCGAGGTATTAACTCTCTTGTTCTGCTCCAGCCTAATAAGTAGAAAGTCAATGCCATTGTTTTAGATCTAAGCAAAAAAATACTTTGAAACCTCAAAAATTAGGGTTTTTTGAAGCAATTAACTCCCTCCTCCGTCTCCGAGACGAAAGAAACACGGGCCAATTATTTCTTTGAAGGCTAAATATTTACTCCCAGATGAAGTGCAGCAGCTCAGGCTGGAGATGAATTACCCAGCTCTGATGTCATCTAATGCCTGCAAGTAAGAAAAGCCAAACGAAGACAGGTATGAACAAACAACAACAAAAATAGGGTGTTTTCTCCTGGAAAAGCCCTTCAGAGAGGGGAAAGGGATGAAGCTGTTTCAGCTCACCTGAGCTGCATACGAGGCATTTAGCGTGGCCCTGGCACCACCACACTCCCGCTCCCTTCAGGCAACCCTACCCAGGTCTCATTAGACAAGATGCCCACGCTTAAGGAGGGCACAAGCAGAGCGTGACCAAACTTCTCTGAGCAAGAACTGGCCTTTGGAAAAGCCGCCGTCTCACTCTGGAGCAAGATCTATCCTCCAGAATCCGTGGGGCTAGGTGTGGGAATTCTTCCTCAACCTCCACAAGCAATTAGCCTGCACACAGAGCGAGTGTTAATCAATCAACATCAGCTCTTCTTTTTTTAAAAAAAAAATTAAATAAAAATCCCTCCTGCCTTATTTACACCTGACTCTTGAGTTTCAAAGCTCTGCTTTTGCCCCCTCCAGACACTATTCTTTCCCAGGCAGCGGGTGCCAACCCTCTGGTTAAGGGCAGTAAAAGAAAAAAAAAGCAGCTAAGTGTAAGAAACCACCACCGGCACAAGCGCGGCGTGACTCATCTCCTCTGCAGACAGAGGAACAAGAGCGCTCTCTGTTTGGTGAGGCTGCCTGAAGTTTCAGTTGCGATCCCATCTCGCTACACGCGCTCATGACAGCCTGCAGAAGTATTTCCTCGGGGGATCTTCCCATGGGACTTAACTCTGACACATATTCCCACAGGACTCGTTCTTTTCAAAGTGTTATTTGTTAGTAAGGCAGTGGGAATTCGCCTTTGCGAAATACCAAGAGAGTGACTGAGCAGAGCTGGGTGCCGGCGGCCGGGGCTCGTTAGCGCGACTGCGAGTCGTGCCCCGCATTCAATGCGACGGAAGAACTCGCTGGGCTGCAAGAATAGATGTCCTGGGTCAGAGCAGAGGTCTGCATCACCCAGTATCCTGTTTATGCTACCCAGGGCCTCTTCTCCACCCCTGAGCAGAGGCAGAGCGCTACGGCAGGGAAGGAGGAAGAGCGAGAGCCGGTTTCCACATACGTGCAGGCTGTTATTTGTTTTCTTCCTCCATTTTAAGCCCGTGACTGCTTAATTCTCACCTGTAGGCATCATAGAGCGGAGGTGCAGATGCAAAAATCGAATCAAAACATTAAGAGTTGGGCAGACTGACATCCAGCAAGGGGTCATCAAGCACCAAGTTACACGCTGAGTGATGTGACACCTGACCAACTCCCAGTATGCAGAAACATTTAGATCTTGGAGGACTTCGTATAAGAAAGTCAGACAAGAAAATACAACTTTAACAACAGCCGAGTAATCCACAATACTCGGAGCACACGAAGCAGGGTCAGAGGGAGCCCGCACCCAAGCAGACAAGTCAGCAAGGAGCACTTGGTGGGTGCTGAGCTCCTTTCCTTCTTCCTACTCTGCTAAACGCAAAGCTTTTGCCGCAATGGCTAGTTTAATACCGATTACCTCCCCGGCCCCCACAGCTTCCCTCAATTCTGCTTTTGTCGAAGTTATCTTAAGTTAAATTCAGAAATATACGGAAAACAAGCAGGCCAAGTGTGACGTTTTGAGTACGAAAACCAGTGTGGGAAATCATTCGTGGCATTTTCCTGCCCTGCTCAGAGAGCGTGGACTGCAGGAATGTACCTGGTTTCCCACGCTCTCCCGGTTGCTGCGGGTAGCCCGCACGGGCATGTCTCCTCCACTCCTCAAAATACCTAAAGTGGCAGCTACCAAAGTTATTAAAAATGCATAAAATCTCAGCTCTGGGACAACGACTCATCAACACGGGCTCTTGTGACCGCAGGTAAGCGTCACCCACCTTGCACAGCACGAGCCAGCACCGAGCAGCTGCTCCAGACAAAGAGAAACAACCCAGCGCGGCGCTGCAAGCGCAAGAACACGCACGTTCTGCAGCAAATAAAAAAAAGGATCTAACCTGAAAACCAGTCAGATAACGATAAAACACGTCGAGAAATACAGACTCCGAGCAGCCAGCCCTGAGGACAAGGTAAGGTTTGATAAAGTCGCCCATCTGCCACCTCTCACCTGATGCCAGGGGCCGGATCCACTCCTTGCTGTTCAGGTCAAGCCTCCAGAGGTCGTTGAAGGCGGCGTTACAACTGCTCTGCGTGCAGCCACCGAACACGTACATCGACTGGTTCGCGTCATAGTAACACGCACCTGGGAAAAAACCCAAACACACAGATTAGCCAATTCTCTGAACT